TGTAACACTGAGGATCCGACGGATATCACGAGTTAGATTTCATTGTCATGCACCAAGTTCAGCGCAAATAAGTCTTGTGACGTGTGAACCCGGATGTACGAGATTGAGCTGGCCGTTCTTATACACCCTACGATCTTCGGAAAATGGGGTGAAATCCGGGTGAAATATCCCTTTTACATTATCTACTATGAGTGTGTGTGCACACTTGAATCGAAAATTCCTTTCATATATAACTTAGACCACACAGTTTGTTTTATTAAATTCCATTGGCACGCGCTCATGTTCTGTCGCGTGCCACCCACACGTGTCGTTAAGGTTTTCGTGTGCGGACATTAAGCACTGACATCGCGCGAAGCTCACGTTGAGGTCTGATTACGATGGTGAGATACACTAAATAGTCACCTTATATCTCCGGAAGGTACAGTTACACCCTCAATCAACCACTATCTGCTGCATGTATCTACATTTTTAAGATAGCTTCGTGGTAAATCGCAAAGAACAATTAAGGACGAGTCGTGGTTTATTTCACGATAAAACATTGACATCATTTCTGGAGATTCGAACATGCCCTCTCTACCTGATTACGTAGTAAATTGGACGCCGTAAATTTTGAGAGGAAAGTGTCTAGTGAATTGTTCACCATAGATGTAGCTGGGCAACGCAGATAAACGCAACGATCGCATTCAAAAGTGGGAGAGATATGGCAATCGGTATTTGGAGAAAAGGTCACGACAATCGACGTGAAATTTTTTGAGAATATCCTGGAAATACCAAATTTAATCCCAAAGATCATCTTTGCCGGTGTCGGATTGAATTCAGGGAGTCGACATTATTGAAATATGGGTAAAAAGTATTAAAGCTTGTACATTTTATCAACAAAGAGGGCGAACAAAATGTCGATATTTCATAAAAGAAATACTCCCCTCATTGTTTATTCTCCCTGCAGTGTTATGTTGTACGATAAACAACCCCCACTAGTCGTTAATTTCTTAAATACACTGGGGCGGTCGGGTAGCCTAGTGGTTAAAGCGTTCGCTCGTCACGCCGAAGACCCGGGTTCGATTCCCGACATGGGGTACAATGTGTGAAGCCCATTTCTGGTGTCCCCCGCCGTGATATTGCTGGAATATTGCTAAAAGCGGCGTAAAACCATACTCACTCACTCACTCTTAAATACACTGGTAATACTAGAATTCTATGTTCCCAGTGTGGCCTCTTTTTGATGTATACTAGAATTCTATGTTCCCAGTGCGGCCTCAAATATGATGTATACTAGAATTCTATGTTCCCAGTGCGGCCTCATATATGATGTATACTAGAATTCTATGTTCCCAGGGCGGCCTCATATATGATGTATACTAGAATTCTATGTTCCCAGTATGGCCTCATATATGATGTATACTAGAATTCTATGTTCCCAGTGCGGCCTCATATATGATGTATACTAGAATTCTATGTTCCCAGTTTGGCCTCATATATGATGTATACTAGAATTCTATGTTCCCAGTTTGGCCTCTTTTTGATGTATACTAGTATTCTATGTTCCCAGTGTGGCCTCATATATGATGTATACTAGAATTCTATGTTCCCAGTGTGGCCTCATATATGATGTATGCTAGAATTCTATGTTCCCAGTGTGGCCTCATATATGATGTATACTAGAATTCTATGTTCCCAGTGTGGCCTCATATATGATGTATGCTAGAATTCTATGTTCCCAGTGCGGCCTCATATATGATGTATACTAGAATTCTATGTTCCCAGTATGGCCTCATATATGATGTATGCTAGAATTCTATGTTCCCAGTGTAGCCTCATATATGATGTATACTAGAATTCTATGTTCCCAGTATGGCCTCATATATGATGTATACTAGAATTCTATGTTCCCAGTGTGGCCTCATATATGATGTATACTAGAATTCTATGTTCCCAGTGTGGCCTCATATATGATGTATACTAGAATTCTATGTTCCCAGTGTGGCCTCATATATGATGTATGCTAGAATTCTATGTTCCCAGTATGGCCTCATATATGATGTATACTAGAATTCTATGTTCCCAGTGTGGCCTCATATATGATGTATACTAGAATTCTATGTTCCCAGTGTAGCCTCATATATGATGTATACTAGAATTCTATGTTCCCAGTGTGGCCTCATATATGATGTATACTAGAATTCTATGTTCCCAGTGTGGCCTCATATATGATGTATACTAGAATTCTATGTTCCCAGTGTAGCCTCATATATGATGTATACTAGAATTCTATGTTCCCAGTGTGGCCTCATATATGATGTATACTAGAATTCTATGTTCCCAGTGTAGCCTCATATATGATGTATACTAGAATTCTATGTTCCCAGTGTGGCCTCATATATGATGTATACTAGAATTCTATGTTCCCAGTGTGGCCTCATATATGATGTATACTAGAATTCTATGTTCCCAGTGTAGCCTCATATATGATGTATACTAGAATTCTATGTTCCCAGTGTGGCCTCATATATGATGTATACTAGAATTCTATGTTCCCAGTGTAGCCTCATATATGATGTATGCTAGAATTCTGTTTTCAAAATGTTCAGGCGATGTCTATGCTGCACGTGCATACTGTTTACAGGAGAGGAAAACACCACACGTCACACTTTGTGTGGTATTCTGACGTCCATATGCTGGTATATCCTTGGCTGGAAAGATCGAACTATTATCTCCATCTACAGCTGATTAATTACTGTAATTGCGGTGTGGGTGGACTTGGGAATTTAAGCTACATTGTGTGGCCAATTATTTGTTGACCGTAACTTGTATATTTAATACATGTCAATTATCTTCAGATAATTAAAATAATTATATTTATATTTATCGGTGAAATAAGTTGCATTGATGCCATCGCGAGCTCCCTGTGCAATGTATATCGCCAGTGTCAATATCTAACACTAAAGGTCGCGATTAGGGCTCTGACACATGTCAAATAGGATTGTTTATGGGGAAAGGTTACACCGACTAATTTCATATTGGCTGTTGTGATCATACACAGTTACGTTTAGAGAAAGAAAGGCTTTGAGATATCAATTAAGGAATGACAACATTTAAAGGTTACTATCCACGTAATGAAACTGATCGATCATAAGCTTAAATGTCAACACTAGACTGCAGGGGGCACCTTTACTCTCCACCGGGCACTTGGGTAGCACATGGCATAGCCCACCGCTGCCTTACCGGTAAGAGGGGGTGCATCGTACAGATTTGGGTGGTAGTGGTGTCTGGCGGAATGGGAGAACGGGGGAGTGGGTAGGGATGCAGGGTGGGTGGGGTCGAGTTTGAAGCATTTCAATGAGATATTGTTTTTGTTCAAACTCATTTACAGCGTTTTATTTATACATCCAGGTTATACCGCCTTATGATTTAGAGCCACATTTAGTAAGATGAAGACTTATAGTGGCCACTGTTCAGTCTGGTATGTTTGTAGTGCATTGACATTGACATATCTTGTACACACTCGTCACAGGCAGTACTAGATAAGTCACAACTGATGATACATGGTATTGATTTACAGCACCGAGTCATGTAAACTCTGTTCCAGTCTGATTAAGCAATGACATAAAAATATGCCACTGGGAATATCCTAGCTAGTGAAGGCCGTCCTTCGTCGTAATGTTATGAAAATGTAGACTGCCATGGCGTCAGAGCAGCAACATGGCGTGAAGCATCTGTACGTTAACCACAGCTGACGCCAGGCTTTATTATTCTACGTTTCTATCGAATATCTACTTTGAATACCTACATTGCACATACGTTGTTCACCAAACAGTACTTAAATCGAAGGAACAAAACGTTGGATCACGTGACAAGTAGGAGTGGTTGATGCATTATCATTGAAGGGAAGATTGGCGTCAGCATCGATAGTTTCGCTGTAATACTATGAATACGAAGCATTACATATATGAGTTACTTTGTGTGACTATTAAACGAGTTATGGCCCTAAGAAATATTTTATTACTTCAAACGTCAACGTATGACATGTTTGCTGGGGTGATATTTCGTTTAGCCTGAAAACAAAATGGCCACCGGATTTCTACAGATTGAATAAGCAACGGCGCCATGTCAGTCAAAGCCCCGATTACATGAAGTTAATCTTGAATTTACGTATGTTATGAATTTACATAATGTCTGTGACGTGGGTGAAATGTACACGGGGATCTGCCTGTCAGGAGAGGCTGAAACTGACGTGATGGACGGGCGATAACAGTTTCACATGTTCATTCTATTTACCAAATACGAGTGGGCGTGCGAGAACAACATCCCAACATGTTTCTTTGCCACAGCAGCACGACTAGCACTTACATCAACTCATACATGGAAAGTAAATGCAATTATCTAGCTATACGATTGTGCGAATCTAATCATAACATTTAGCAGTCTAATTTCCCACCTTGAAGCCTCTCTCGGTGGATTAAATGTGATGTTTCTACACCCTGTACACTCTATACACAACACCAGTAGAGTTCCAAGTAGATATCAACAAGTAATTAATGGCGAGATAACGTTCAGATGAAAGTGTTTTCCAAAGTTGACATACTTTCATAATTTCTAGTTTCTTTATGCCCCACTTTAAGCCACAATACCTTATTCAGATCGGGAAACAATCTCGGGACACATTCAAACGGCGATGCAGCTTTTTGTGTTGAAATAACGTTTTAGTGTGTACATGTTACATGTGAAGACGAAACATCAGGTTTTTGCATACTAATTGGTCCTACAAAATACAATATCCAAGGAACTTTAATGTCAATTTTCAGACTATTCAAACACAGTATGTAAAGAAACTGGTGTTAACAGAAGGACGGAAAGTTCTCCTACCAGAAACTGCACATTAGTAATCGTCTGAAAATCAATGATGTAAGAATGGTGAAAAATATACTCACATTTTCTTGTCCATATTGGAATAATTTTCATCGAATCACACTTATTTTTCACATGCATATTTAAAAGGATATCCCCATTCAATGATGATCTTGGCATATTTTCTGATAAAGTTCTCCTCACTAAAAATGAAGAGCGAACGGTTGCTTGACGCGGCCATTCCTGGGAGACTCAAGTGAGCGGCACGTCTAGAAAGATGTCCTAGGGAGCCATCATAGGGGCCTGAATAGTCTCCATCGTCACCTTGGCCGCTGTGGGCTTGAAATGTTGCCATCCTAAAACAACACAAAACACAATATCAAACACTGGGAGCAGACGAGATGAGTTCGTCTCCATTAGAGAAAGATGTGTTGGTCCCTCGTAGACGAGACTAATCTCAGCAGCGACTGAGATCTCATGTCTCTGTATACGGTAACGTTAGACGGTGCTTTGACGGTTGCTGTAAAATCACAATAAATCCTCAGAGACTTGAGTTAGTTTGTTAAAATCCGGTATGATGCGACCGTACGACAGAGCATATACACGTCAAACCTCGATAGCACGGTGTGTTCCGCATTGTTTGCGCCACAGCCAATGTAATGGCCTAACCACTTGTCGCCACGAGCGGAATAATTGCTATTTAAAGCCACACATCCAAAGTCCTATTCTGCAGTCTCTGTCACACAACGCGAGAATTCCGACTGGAACTAGTGTCAGCTGGGGAGAGATGTCGTCTGCGACTTGCTTCCACGAGGTTGGAGGGTCTGGTCGCTACCATTTTCTCCCCGCCACGCTGTGAACCCGCTCCATGGATAATTAATGACCCTATTGTTAAAATATATATTGACAACAGTGGCAGATATACGTCGAACCAATGAGACTGTGGCGACCAAAGTGTATTATTTGAAGCCTTGAAAATTTAACAGTCTGACGTCATCGGTTAAGTTTGGACACAAGAGGATCAGCTGGTGGTCGTTGTGGAAAGGGTGCATACATAACAGCTAAACTATGCTAATGAGTCCTGCTCTCTCACAACCAACTAGAAACGCCCCCGGCACGAGATTTCATTGAAAAATCTTCACGGATCAATTCCCCGGCCAACCATGTCCACATTTAGTAGTGAGAATCTGCGCAATATTTATGTATTCTTGTGTCGTCTGCTAAATTCAATTGCATCGTGTGCCCTGTTCGCTCTCCCTACACCGCGCACTCATTTTGTCTTCAGCCATCTACACTCGAATATTGATTTTCTCCTGCTGGACTGTAGGAGTCTACGGGCAGAGGGAAATCGCACACAATTTGAACCTATTTTACCCCGAATCGATAAGGCAGTAATTTAAACTAACCCAGAAGGCCTGTGCTCCGCGCCACCATGCACGAACCGGTCAGCTTCGACTAAGAATGGTCTAACCGGAAGCCGCCATTTTGCCACTGACTTAGTAGCTTACACAGAAACAATCGTTTGAGTTGGAGCGGTGTGTCTTCTTCTAGCTATGTGCATCAGTCTGTTATCTATCTATCGATTCAAAACATCGCGACATTGGTGCCGTCTCTTTCCATGTTTGAATGAACTATATTTAGATACTCTAAAGTGCACATTAGGTCAAAGTAATAGTTTGATTTGTTAGTGTTGGGTTTGACCCAGATCAGGATAATCAGTATCTGATGAATCGTACTTGCTATCTTCAGCAGCACTCTGGGGTTCCTTGATTACAGGCAGTTTCACAGAACGCATATGCATATCTCAATCACAACCGGGCTAAAGCAATAATACGTACATATAATATCCAATGCACTACCATTTAGGCACCATGGGAAAACTGACCTATCAAGTCAATTCGATTTAATTTCAAGGCGACATGCCATTGAATTGGGTACCTGTCTAAGATCTGAACAGGGGCATAATGCAAGTTACTTCACAAGGGAAACTGTCCACTGATCTTCACAGACACCAACTCATGTCAACTTGATTTGGACATAACATATTGTAGGTTACTGCCGAGCACGAGAGCACAATTTGATCCCTGACCTAGCTCCACTCCAGATGGTCGGTATGTCATCCACTACCGCTGTATACCACAGCTGTGCAGCAACCCAAGGCGCGACATGACGCCCGCTATACCGTTGTTTGCTCTAATTAACGTTGAATATACCTTATCTGGTCGGACACATGTTTTACTGCCAAACAACACTTGATGTATGTTTCAAGACCACTGTGCAATGGTGACAGGTAATTAAGTGATGTGACAGGTACGAACCGGCAGCTCGATCACAATGTATTGGGGAGCTTCTGGCTGAGGCTGCACTCAGTAGGGATATCCTTTCGTGACGATCAATTTTCTAAAGCGATATATTACAATACAGATATGGAAGTGGTATTTCTGGAGTGAGATTACTAACCTAATACCACGATACAGACATGAAAGTGGTATTTCAGGAGTGCGAGAACTGACTTAAAACTTGGCTGCGCTGGTGTCTTATGTTTCTAGCTCAGGTGGGCAAATCAGTGGAAGGGAATTGGCTATTTAACCACCATTGAATGATATACGATCATCGATATACCTGAAGCTGAAGTATTGGTTAATTCCCTTATCATACCTCCATGTCAGAAAGACGAGATCTGATTGGTCCACGTGATCTTGATAAAATACTATGTACCTCGCCTTGGAGGTAAAAACATTTCTCAGCGGATGAATACATCCCTTATACCCCGCCACGAACAAGACAGGCTCTACGTGGATTTCTGAGAGACAGAATACATCCGTTATACCTCTAATTAAAAAAGCCGCACGCTTTTTACAAGTCAATGAATGTGACGTGACATAGCACCAGTTAACTTCAGATCAATCGAACAGCTGTTTCCTATCAATTTTGAATTTTAATTTTTTTTCAATGTCATATTATAACATGACGGTAAGATAAACTCGTTGTTGCAGGATCACTCGGGTCTCCTCCGACTCGTGGTATAAAACCTGACGCGGGACAAACAAAACCCATGTAGCCAGAGTGACCCTGCATAATTCTTGCCAACATTTGCCAACAGCAGCAGAAATTCTGACTTCTATTCATGAAGAAACAGACCAGCACAGTTGGTGTCCAGGGGGATGATTTCTGCCCCAAATTCTACAAAGATGTTATCTATGAAGAAGACCAATATGTCACATATTGTTTTGGAAATGACATTTGCTTTCATTTCTGACAAATTGTCCTTTGAAGATAGAAATGTAACTATGGCCACCACAGTACAGACCGGATGCAGAACTGAAAGTGGCTTTTCAAGAGTGAAATATCTAACTTCGTGCTTCCACAAAAACAGGAAAATACTTTTTCCAGATCTGGGAAGCCTAATCTCACAGCACGATATAGAAAATAGCATGTCCTGGTATATTCAACATCGCGGAATCATACTGACGGAAAGGAATTTCTGGAAACAGTTATATAACCTTCTCATTTGTGAGATACAAATACATATTACGAAATGACTGGATTTTGTATGTTTGTTTGTTTGTTGTTTTTAACGCCGCACTCAGCAATATTCCAGCTCTATGAAGGCGGTTATGAGTCTGGACCAGACAATCCAGTGACTGACATCACCAGCATCGGTCTACGCAACTGTTATACGATAGCATGCATCAACCAAATCAGCGAGCCTGACCACTCGATCCCGTTAGCCGCCTTTAACGACAAGCATTGTCGCTTGTTAGATCAAGCCTGGGTTGCTGAAGACCTGTTCTACCCCGAAATGACAGGAAAGCAGCATTTCTTCAGTGATATATCACATTTCATGGTACGATAAATACCAACAAATTGTGTTTGTAACGTCTCTGCACGATACTTACATGCCCTTAGTATCTTTCAGTCAGATATCTAACGACATATGACAAGGACTGTTATGGATAACAACTTCTTTATCGTATATATATATATATATATATATATATATATATATATATATATATATATATATATATATACTTACATGCCCTTAGTATATTTCAGTCAGATATCTAACGACATATGACAAGGACTGTTATGGATAACAACTTCTGTATCGTATATATATATATATATATACGACATTTCAAGGTTGCTTCTTGCTCCTTCATAATTCACCCGATGAAGGACAAACAGTAGCCCTGAAACGCATCGTATAAATACAAATAAAGAAATTGTTATATTTCTTGTCACAGATGAAGTGACTTCTTTGATAGGCATTTAGAAGTTGGAGTACTAAGTAAGGATAAGACTTTATGGATGAACAACTTCTTTATTACAATCAAGAGCGACGTTTCGGTGTAGGTCTTGCTTTATAACGGCGTTAGAACCTTCACCGAAACGTCGCTCTTAATTGTAATAAACAAGTTGTTCATCCATAAATTCTTATCCTTACATAGATGAGGTGTTTCACTTCGCGTTCAAGATTATTGCACTTATATCGCGACGTGCATGCAAGGGTGTGTGTGGCTGCTTGTACTAGTCCGGAGTAATGCCGATAGTATAGTGCTAGCTCACTGAGATACCATGCCGCAGTTTAAAATGAACACCCCACTCAGATGCAGTATACTGACTCCCAGCCGACCAGTCCTTGTTTGTTGCCGAGCGTCAGACAGGGTAACAATAAGACCCATTTTTAAAGGTCTTTAGCTGTGACGAGGCAGGGGATCGAGCCCTCAACCCCCGCTCCCCGGGCAGACGTCTACCACTAGACCACGGAGGCGGTCTTCTTGACATATGTTTATTCAACTGCTAAATGCCTTTAACAACTCCCTAACCTCATACTATGATAATAGAATTCCCGGACTGGTTGTATCTACCCCCATAGAATGATACAAACGGGGTTATAGTATTTCTAGAATGGCAAAAATAAGTTCCAAACAGAGAGGTATGTGCCATTTTTTTAGAGCGGGGCACACAGTTAGTATATAGAGTATGATAAAAGCAGCAAGGTAGCGTTTCTCGAGTGAAATATCAACCCTAGTAGCGGGGAATGCAGTAAATAAATACAAGAAACCCTTTCCACAATTGTAAGAAATCTCCATTTGCACTGTATGATTCTGACTATATCATGAGCATGTGTTTAGGAGTCACTTTGAAATAGTGATTACACCAGGCATTCGCGAAAGGCGAGCGTATCCTGGCCCACCTATGGCATCCGTCACAAACACATGAAAATGCAAGTCAATTGTTTAGGCCTACCTGAAAACACAGGATCATATGGTAAAAGTGAAAATAGGGAATTGCATACAACATACTGTGTGTCACTGGGGCGTCAAACGTGGATGAGTCCTCCTCATGT